TATAAAATATTAGTTGAAATGAATAAAATTTATAAAATATTAATTAAAAATAATAATTTTATGTTTTTAAAATAAAATGTTGTGTGAAAAATATATGTAGGAACGTTCCTAAAAAAGGCCTAAAATTTCATTTGCATGCACACATTATACAGTTTTAAAGATTTTAGGATAAGAAATTCTTAAAAACTTTCAAACTTTTCTTTTTTAAACATTAAAATTTTTCAAATTAACTTGTTTGAACCCACTGGCAAAGGTTCACATTTTTCCCGTCGAAAACATTTTTGTTCCCAACTTTTTACTTGCACACCCGCCTAAGATTAATAAAAACTTTTGCCTCTTGATAGTTGAAATGACACAAAGGCAGCTTCCATGATCAATTTGTTGTTGTGGTAAAGTAATTTGGATATTTATTAATTATTAATTAAAATGGTCTAAGAGGTTTTTTTTTTTTTTCCAGCCCAAATTGTATGAGGGCGGGAAATCTTAGTTATAAAAATATTAAAATATCTTTAATGCAAAATAGTTATTAAGAGTACTTAAATTTGATGGTTCAAACCTTATTACTTTTATCTTTTTAAAATTTGTGTTGCATATAAACTTCCTTACAAAATTAAGAGTACTTAAATTTTTTATATAATAAAAGACTAAAAAGCCTACTTCTATGCAGCACATTACAGAACTGACAAATGAAGCCTTATCCATAAAAGTAAGCTATTAGGACTAAAGAGGATAATTTTGCAAGGAAATTTGGTAAAATAAAAGGCATTTCCAATCATGAATATGGAAGAAAGTTTCAAATTCACCTGTGAATAAAGTGCATGTAGCTAAAAAGGCTGTACGGAAGAGAACAATTGCAAAAAAATAAAATAAAATAAAAATAAAAAAGAGTTTCAAGTGCAATAAAATGTTAATCATTTGTAGGGTTGTTCGTTGGCAATTATTACACCCTGAAATTAAACAAATCAGAAAAAATTTTGATTTAAAAAGCTACTTTACCAGATTATCGCAGCCATTAGATATTTACCATTGCTCGAGGTCTACAATAACTGAAGCAAAACGGAAGCTACATCTATGCTTACCTTTACTCTAGAGAATATTATTATTTTCCCTTCAAAATTGTTAGGAACTGAAATTGTTAATTGAGTTAAAATTGATCCCAATTGTTGATTATCTTGTAATTTATGATTAATTTGACAGAGTTATTAATTTATTTGAAGTTTTGATTTGTTGGGCAATTGATATGTGCTTGAATTATAATTACAAGTTATACCTATTCAGAAAGAAAATAAATCATTGAGTTTTTGTTTGCCTATTAAAAAATTTATAAGATGCATTCTCAAAAAGTTCAATGAAGTATTAGCATAGTAAGATTAATTATTAGTGAGATGGTAATAAGGGATGGGGGAGTGAAAAATCAATCCACATTAATTATATACATTTATATACATTCATGAAGGAGAGGAATGAATGGTGTTTGTTATTTACAGTTTCGAAATTTGCTTATGCAATCCACTGTCATTAGTTGGTATTTCTAGCATGTCAACCAACTACTCCAATTCCTGATAGGGGTGGGACAAAGCCGCAACAGATCGGGCCATCGACAATTGACCCGAGAAAATGGTATTCTGTGCGGGCCTAACGGGCTTTGGGCCCAAATTTTTGGTGACAGGCTTGACCCGATTTTAAACGGATTGGTGTTCGACTTCTAACCCAGGAACCGAGTAACTGAATAATAGCCCTGAATAACTGAATAAGAAATAAATATGGAAAATGATT